TTATAAAGAAGTTGAATCCTACTGCTCCTAGTCCACCTAAGAAGGACCCAATTAGTAGAGTTCTATCCTTGTTAAAACACTTTTATGGAACAACACCGATCAAGTTATGACTTCAAAATGTCATAGAACTCTGGGGAGTTCGAATAACCTAGTCCTACTAGGAAAGCACTACCTACCTCTATAAATATAACACCATAAGTCATTATTCAGGTACGTTTTTTACATACAATTTGAGCATCCAATATTTTCCGTATTCTCTCTCTGACTTAAGCATCGGAGGGGCGACGAGGACACACCTCGACGCCTTTGTTTCAGGTACCGAAAGACCTCGTTCGTGCTCATTCTCAGTCGTCAAGTTCGGAAGTCGACGGGTACGATTTTTGGTAGCACCACCCCCCATGTGACCCCTTTTCCATGTTTTCATTGAATTTGTTTTCCCACCAATTTTTTTTTTTTAATGGAAACAAATTCTATCTTCAATTGTAAAAAAAAAAAAAAGTCCCTTTAATGGACAATTTTCATGGAAAATAAAGGAAAACAAATACAAAAAATCCAAAATTTCAACATTTTCTATGTGAAAAATTATACTAATAAAACACAATTAATTGACAATTCCCAGAAAAACAATTTTAGGCAATTCAATTCCCTGTAATTCATTTTCTTTCTACCCAAATTTCACTCTTACAATCAAACGCTCTTAGTGATCGCTTAAACGAGAAACTGGAAATTATGCCTATTGTACTTGCACAAATGTCTTGGGGCTTATTCCTCAAATTGAACCCTCGATGGTGAGCCAGCTCACACAATATTTTCGTTGTTCGGCTCGTTCTCTCCTTAACCCTTTGCCCTTTATTAGAAAATTATAGATATGAGCATTTGCCACATAAAGGAGAATCTTGTGTTACAATATAAGCAGAAGTGATGGGAATTATTCATGAATTGAAGTCAATTTATTTTAAGTTCTAATACATTATTACTCGTTGCAGTGTAAGTGGTCTTTCAAAGCGCCTTTGAGGTCGTATATTCCCATCCATTTACTTTTATAGAACATTGACAGGGGAGAATCATATTGCCATTAAGATAGTCATCATTTGGTTTAAAAATGACTATAGTCTCCTTTTCAATTAAATAAATAAAAATAAAGAATACTCGTCGAAAAAGGCTTCTCTCTCCCATCTACACACCTCTTCTGTTTGATCTACTTCCAAACCATTCACCACGTTGAGTAGCAGGGATATGAGTGAGGCATTGCTTGGAAAGGGATGCAGATGCAACAAGGTGACCAAGATTGGTTTTGGCACGGATTCGAGTTTAGAGGCAAAACGTGAAATACGAGGTGGAAGGTCGAGACTTTGAACTATTTTCTCTTTCTTCTTTTAGCTCATTTTTCTTTGTATTTCAAACACTTGATTGGTAAAAGTCACTAAATTTTTTTGCAAGCAACTAGGATACCGTCCACTAAAAATAAAGTTGCTAAAAAGTGAAATGTTAGAGAAACAGGGGAAAAAAAAAATAAAAAATTAGAGGCCAACTAATTACAAATTCCATATATATTTCCAACCTCCCCTGTAATTTTAAAAACATTACTACTAGGATGCAAGGGAGATGAAAAGTAGGGCCGGACAAAATTCACGAACCGAATCGGACTCGAACCGAACCGAGCGGTTCTTCTTAAATTAAATACCCGAACGAGTATCTGAATCGAGAACCGACGAGTTTGATTCGATTCTCAATTCTAAGCCAAGAACTAAAAAATCAAATTTTCCTAATTTTTTTTATCTTAAATAAGTAAAATTATTTTATTTTTTAAATAAATTGCTAACTAATTAATTTAATCTAAACCCAAAATGTGATTTTACTATTTCTAATTTCCTGTCAAACCCAATTTAATCAAATTGACCTAAATTTTACCCAAATCGCTTATCCTACTGTAGTATTGTTTCTACCGTTCTATTATTGTGAACTAGCCAACTTCCTCTTCCTATAATTTCAACAGTCAAATCTATGACAAACTCAACAAAAAGAGGTGCAAAAGATATCACGATGTTGGATTACGTTATTTTGTAAGAGCTAATATTGAATATATCATAATTAAATTAATGTAGCGTTGTTGTAATATTAAAAAAAAAAATTTATTGACCGGAACCGTGGAACCGACTAGAGCCAAACCGAATCGAATGGAACCGAACCTGTACAGTTCCATAATTAAATTTAGATCCGACGGTTCTATTTAATAAATACCCCAAAATTTCAGGTTCGGTTCAGTTCGATTCTAAAGAGAATCGAACCGAATCGGACTTGCCCAACCCTAATAAAAAGGGAATTAAATATTTCATTAGTCACTGAACATATATATCTATAACGTTTTAACTCAGTGAACTTTAAAATGCCTCCGAATGACCACTAAATTTTAACATGTTTCACTCTACCAATCACTCATCAAGTTTCATAAATACTTGAATTTTGAAATGCTTGTGAGTTATTGAACTTTGACATATTGTATTCCATCACTTACTCACTATATTTTCCTAGTCAATGAACTTATACCCATCACGCTTTATTCACTGAACTTTAAACTATTTTCGAGTGGTCAATTAATTTCATAATATTTTCGAGTAAAGTTAATTTTTTATGAAATTTGACCTAGATCAAAACAATGAATTAAATTAAATATTGAATGGATAATAAGACTCCCAATCTAAATAAAAAATATTGATATTGTTCAAGAAGATATAAATTCACTAGTCATCAGAAAATATGCAAAGTAGATAGAAGAATGCTAGTTTTAAATTAATATAAATTTTAATTTAGATTATAATCTTCCTTTAAGTTGAGAAAATAAGATACAAAAATTATTTCTTTATTTCAGTTGAGATGATAAACCAAAATCAAGAAAATAAAAAAATATATCTCAAACGGATAGTAAAATTTTCGATTTAAAGTCAATAATATTAATCAATATTAACAAACATAATTTTTTGAGTTGTTGCGAGATAAGTCAAGGGAAAAGAATGACGTTGTCTTCGTATATCATATTTTATAATTCATAATTTTCAATTTTTGAATAGTTGAATTCAATTAGTAAAGTTTAGTAACCATTCGAATGATTTTAAAGTTCAGTAAGTAAAGTGTGATGGAAATATAAGTTCAGTAATTAATGGAATATTGTGAGTGACTGATGAAGTTCAACATGTTAAATTTTATTGACCACTCGAAAGTATTTCAAAAGTCCAGTGACTAATGAAATATGTTGAGTAAGTGATGGAGTGCAATGTTTTAAAGTTCAATATCAATCGTAAGCGTTTTAAAGTTCAATGAATAAAGTGTGATGACGGTATAAGTTCACTAACTAATGAAATATTTAACTACGAGAAAGGTGAGGGCAGAAATAAAATGACGATGTATGCTGTTATATTAGGCACAATCCCACACGTGATGGCAACCCATTGCTAAACCCCAAGATCACTGCAAAGGCATCCAATGGCGGACTGCATTTTGTTAAATTAAACTAGTTGTACATTTCTTTTGTACAACTAGTTTGACATTCCTTTATGTGTCAAAATCATGGGCATTGATTTGACAATCATACTACATGAACATCAAAGTTGATATAAAGTTTGGCATAATATCACGTGATACTTTATCATTTGACAGTTTAAAATATAGTCTGCTTTTCTATTTAATCATCTACTGTTACATATAATTATGTCAAATTCGCCAGATAAAATAATTTTATCCTTAATTTGAAAATGTATAATTCAAATCAATAATCTTGATTTTGAGACATGATGAACGTCAAACTTACATGTAGCAACTTTGCATTTGGCCACTCTCCTAAAACACTCTCGTGTCCCTTTCACTCAATCAATTGACATACACATACACATATGGATCATGCTATTTGTACACCAACCTCCCTCATAAGAGGGGATTCACGATTTTTTTATTGATCTAGGACTCCCCTATTATGAGGATTGTACACCGGAATGTTAACCCCAATGTACAAATAACATTTCCTTACATATATATAGCAGTGTTTTAAAATGTGTAATGCATCGTGATGCGTAGAGGTCAATCTATGGGCTAGGCGAGTTTAGGAGAAACATATGCGTAAAAAAAACGTAAAAAGACGTTTTCTTATTTTAATATTATTTTAATTTTTAATCAATCAAAAAATAATTTAATAATTAAAAATAATGTATATCAAACATTTAAAATAGATTTATAAAAACTTTATACATTTTTTCAAAAGTTTTCAATAAAAAGATAAGTTTCAAATGTAAATCGACCTTTAAGTTTTAATTTTAAAAAATGTAAAAAAATTAATTTTTTTTAAAAAATATATACATAATTGTGCCTAGGCACACATTAACGGTCAACGATTTCCGTTAACCGCTAACTAAGGCGCCAAGCCACTTGACTTGGTGTTTTCATTGTGCATCGCGCCTATGCGACGTCNAAAAAGATAAGTTTCAAATGTAAATTAACATTTAAGTTTTAATTTAAAAGTTAAAAAAAGATAATAATGCGCACCTAGACTTGCATAATTGCATTTAGACACTCATTAGCAGTCAGTAATTTCGTAGTGCATCGTGTCTAGGTTACGTCTGGAGACGCTTTTTAAAACGTTGATACATAGGGAGTGTGAAGAGCTTGTCTAACTTCAACCTCGCTAATATCGCTTTTTAGAACAATGGAGAATGTAAAGAGAGAGAACGTGTCTAGCTCTAACTCGGTGACTCTTCAACCTTCTTAAGAGCCAGCCCATCATTGAATAATCAAATTCCAGAAATAATTTTACGTTTTTCAGATTATTATATTGAAAAAAAAATATAAGGATCATCACACCTCTTGATCCCAATGTCTTCATCAGGTCCAATCTTCGCTTGCCAAAGTCTCTCTTTTCTAGAAACTCGTGAATTCATTCTTCTAACTCTTCTTGCTAAAGTGTACAGTTCGTAGATTGATAATGGCGAGCATATCAAACACACTTTCATTGAAGCATGGGCTTTCACTATGGTGTCCACAGTCAGCCCCCTTGAATCGAATTCATCAGGGTTCTTGTTCATTTCCTTCCAGAAGCTTCCGTAGATGCTTCACTGTCTCTGCTTCCTCCTTCGCCAATGAAAATCGGGAGTAAGTTCTCACCTTTATTTATGCGGGGTGCGGAATGAACAATCTTTCGAGTGGATTCCCGAGTCTTGTCATGGGTGATAAAGGATTTGATTGCAATTTGCTTTTGGAAGAATTGTTCGTGTCACTCTTTAATCAATTTTGTATATTTTGTTTTTGTTTGTATGAATTTAAAGATGGTTGATTGCAGGTTTGTGATAGTAGGAGGTGGGAATGCAGCAGGATATGCAGCTCGGACATTTGTAGAGCATGGAATGGCTAGTGGCAAGCTTTGCATCGTCTCCAAGGAGGTAATCTTATTTTCTTTAGTTTGATTTACATAACATATAATAGGAATTTTTTCAAGAACGGATATTTCACTCATTATTCCGTCATTACGGTATTCTCTTACTTTTTCCTCTTCTAAAATCCCGTTAGAGGTGAAGAGGGGGAATGGGTTTGTAGTGTGGATGCGTAAAGAGGGTTGGAGAGAGGTTGTAATGGCAAAGAAAATGGAAAGAACAATTTAAAGTAGATCATCTTTAGCCTACTCTCTGAACTTGTCAAGCTAGTTGAGCTTTTCGAGTCATCGAAAAGACTAAACTTAATGAATCAATCTGCAATGTACTCAAAGCTCGGATGTTTTGATCCATATCTACTTATAATATGAATAAGTATGACTTTTGACCTGTAAAGTAGGCATTCTAAACCAAATAATATTAATAATAATAATCATGACCATTTTTCACATTGACCAATGGGAGATTGCTATTATGAAGAATATCTCTGATTAATGATATGCTGTAAAACATGTCTATGTGTGCTTGTAAATCTAAGGGTTGTGCTATGGGGATGAAGTCTTTTATTATATCTGGAATCAGGGTGATCAAAAATATATGGCTAGTGATTGTTAATTTGTCTTGAGATGATGATTAATTAATTTATCACTTTACATTTTTGTTTCTGACTTTTTTTGGATTTTGAACTGATATATTTTATATGAATTCAGGCATATGCACCGTATGAGCGTCCAGCATTGACAAAAGCTTATTTGTTCCCTTTGGATAAAAAACCAGCTCGATTGCCGGTGGGTGCAGCTTGATTTCTGATTTGAACTTAACTTGACAAGATTTTATTGGGTTCTCGGGGTTTTTGTGACATTAACCTTTACGTTTCTAACTGGATCAAGTCTGCCTTTCAATTACTATATATGCCTCAGTGGTGCATTAAGCATGAAATATAATATAACTGCAAAATATGTGCACATTTTATCTTATGAATGGGAAGAAAAGGTTTCAGGACTGTCTATTTTAAGAAGCAATTGCTATATTTGTCGTAGTAGATTTTCTTCATGAGTAATGCTATTTATCCCCATATCAACTGATAGATAATATTAAATGTGGGGACATTTGTCCCATTTAAAATGACTTATCAGTTAAAGACAAAGGCTGGTTCTACATATCATTATTCTTTCTTCATATATTGGTAATTGTATACCTATCAAAAAAATATATTGGTAATTGTAATTAAATCTATGTTGTTTCAGGGTTTCCATACTTGTGTTGGCTCAGGTGGAGAAAGGCAAACTCCTGACTGGTACAAGGAGCAAGGAATAGAGGTAATTCCTGTTCCTCATTTTCTTATTTTTCAATATCTCTAATGATTTTCTGATGATTTTGTGGCAGCATTACTTCTATATGACATGCTTGGCTGGTAGAATACCATCTAAATAGATTTGGATTGTAATGAAATGATTGATTTTCTCAAATTTTCAATCTGGCAATAAACTAAAAGGAGTTGAGTTTTAGTTATGAAATTTCTTTTTGCCTTGAGTGTGCCATATTATGTAGACTGCAATTTGGTTGGTGGAACGGTGTTTAGACTCTGGATCCATAACCTGTGAAATATTCAATAAATCAATTTTGGGTTTATTTTGGAAACCTATTTCGGGCGTCAGTGCTCTGCTGATCATTTGAATCCTTAGAAAGTCCATGTTGATTTGGATTGATTTCTTCAGTTGACTTAAAAAGCCCCATCTGATAGTACTACTATATGATGATCTGATGCTTGTTAAGATTAACTTAATTAATGAATTATTTGATAATAGGTAATAACCTTTAATTTAGTTTATGAAGCCCAGAAATGTGGATTTTCTGCCTGTAATTAAGCTTTTAATCTATTAACTATGCTAGCTCCACTTTCTTTTAAGATGTAGGGGAGGCTTATTTACGAAAAATGTATAGCTTGCTGGAAATATGTCAAAACCAGCCGTAACTATGTCCAAATCAATCCGACTGTTTAAATTTTTAGCTTGGCAATGTTTCAATGATGATTTTCTTTACGTTGACACCTTGGTAGTGCTTATGATAATTATGCTCATCATTTTTGCACAGATGTTGTACGAAGATCCAGTAGTCAATGTTGATATTGAAAAGCAAACATTGAAAACAAATTCTGGAAAATTGCTCAAATATGGATCCCTCATTATTGCTACTGGATGTTCAGCCTCCAGGTCTTTATATGATTTCTTTGGTTTAAATGGCTCTATATCCTTCCTAAGATAGTTTCTGTGATATGCTTATTACCAAACTTCCTGGAAAATCCGTCTCGATCTCATCCAACATTTAGTTCAATTTTTTTAAAATGACAAGATGGTGAATAGAATATTCCATGCTATTATTTCCTGTATGTCCCTAAAACTGTTGCACTATATATTTACTTGTCATTCTTTGTCCCATATATCATCTTAGTTTACTTCTTGGTTCTATTGTTTTGGTCTGAAACCAATTGAAAGGAGTTCAGAATCTTGGGACTCTAAAAATATCGAGTTAATGTTTGTATCAGACCCATATATTTTCTTGTTGATGGGTTCCAATTTAATCACACATGAGAAATGAAATTTATTTTTTTGTCTTGACTCCAGATTTCCAGATAAAATTGGAGGAAACTTACCTGGTGTTCACTATATCCGGGATGTTGCAGATGCTGATTCACTGATATCCTCATTGGTAATTGCAGTTCATATAATTCTTTGAATGGAGTGTAATTACTTTCTCGATGATATTTATTTATTAATGTTCCCCCTTTCAGGAGAAAGCAAAAAAAGTCGTGGTTGTTGGTGGTGGTTATATCGGCATGGAAGTCGCAGCAGCAACTAGTGGTTGGAAACTTGATACCACTGTAAGGACCAGTTAAGCTAGCATGTTTCGCTAAGATTAAATGTTCGCTTATAAGTAAATAGGTTAGCTTAAATATAAATAATTTCTTTTATTTGCGAAAGTTGATATTTTGACAATGAGGTAAGAATTACTTTCAAAATAAGTAGCTTTTCCAATTAAAAGTAAGATAAAAGTTACTCATACCAACATATTTGGAAATGAAAACTTATTTATTTTTGAGCTTAGCCAAACAAGCTGGCACTTGCTATTATTGCATATCCAACCCAACAATTTCATTTCAGTGAGTGAATTTAGTCATTAGTTGATACATCTATTTTAGAATTTAGATGACTTACTATATGTTAAGGCAATATGAAAATTCTTACCTGATTTATTCAATTATTTCATTTATGTATATTTAAAAATAACTAGTCATTGTCAATGTGCGATGCACATTATTTATTTTTAGATTTTTAAAGACTTGTAATTCCCTTGATAACTAAAACTTAACCAGGAACTTCATCTTAAAAGCCAAAAAATAGCAAAAGATTAGCCATGCATGGTACAAGCCAGCAATTATTGACACTAGTACAGTTGTAGATTTTTATTGATAGATGAACTGTAAAGCCTTTCAATCTTCCACTTCAGAGAAGAGAAAAGTGTTAGTAGTACTCCCCGAAGTTTCGTAACGAATGTCTTGTCAAGCTTTTTTTGATAAACTAGACTTCTTCTTCTTCTTCTGCTCTCTCTCTCTCTCTTTTCAGCAATAGTTCACATTGCTTTATTAAAATTATTTAATGGCACTAAAATGAATATTAATCAGTTTAAAAAGGTTTTGGAATTAAAATTCAAATAAATCAAAGTGAAATCTATCTCCATAAGGTCATCTGATTGAGTTAAAGAAGCTAACCAAGACATTCACTTTGAAACAAACAAAATAGTATGAAAACACAATAACTATTGATATTTGACGATAATAATTAATAAAAGACCTTCTTATTATTTAAGGATCCAAGGGATAATGTACATAAGGTTAGATTTTGATATTTAAGCAAAAATAAGGAAGTGTAATGACAACAAACATAAAGGAAATGGTACAATGTAAAAAATGACCGGTAAAGTTTACCCGAATCATGAAAATTTTGAGAAGAGAGAGTTTTGATGATGAAGATAGTTTAGTAATGTGATTGGTGGAATGTCCATTGACAAACAGTATGGTTCAATCGCCAATAAATAAATAAAAACAGTTTGATACAGGGTTTTATCTAGCTCATTAATGGGGAACTGTATAAAGGTTCTATCACAATGTACAGTCCAATTTAAGTAAAACTGCCTGATAGAACTTAGCTAAAGCAACATTGTTTCTCTGCACTCTCTCTCTCTCTCGTGGTGTTAGGATGGGGGTTGTATAATCCACATGATAAAATATTCCTAATCTTGACAATATTCTAAGAGATCCCACCAAGATTAAGATTGTCTGGGTCCGCGCCCTTCCCTGTTTGCCTAACTAAAGATCCTTGAACAGTTGATGTTTCTTCTATGGTTTGAACGTTAGTATTACAAATCTTAGTCACCTTGTAAATAAAGCATGTAACTTCTTAATTTGGTGTCATGACATGCATTTATTTGTTATGTTTGGATTCAGGAAATTCTTAATGGCCAAGTTTAACTTGCACTGTCTTTTCTTGAAATAGGTGATATTTCCAGAAGATCATCTTATGCCAAGATTGTTCACTCCATCACTTGGCCAAAAGTATGAAAAGCTATACCAAGATTATGGTGTCAAATTTGTCAAGGTTAGTGTTCTCTCTCTCCCCCTCTCAACACCCACCCACCCACTCACCCCTCCCCCCAAATGAACCTCTACCAAAAAAAAAAAGGGTAAAGGAAAAGGTGTAAATCCTAAAAAAAGGAAACTGTAAATTGAGCAAAAGTAGTGCATGATTGTGTTCCAAGCATGCATATATGATTGATGCATGTAGAGAAGGTTTCTGAATTTAACCCATGCTTCCAGGGCACTTCCATAAAGAATTTAGAAGCTGGTTCTGATGGACATGTGTCTGGTGTTAAACTCGAGAATGGATCCACCATTGAAGCAGACACGGTAATTTGGAAAAAGATGGTCATCTCTAACATTTATCTTTTTGGTCATGATTTATTGAAAAAATACAGGCTTTATGTTGAGTATTGCTACATAATTGTGGCATAGTAAATTCTTACATATAGATGAAGGGGAAAATGATACATCCTTTGTTCCTCGGCATGCAGGTTGTCATTGGAATTGGTGCAAAACCTGCTGTGGGTCCCTTTGAAAAGATAGGCTTGAATAGCACCGTGGGAGGAATACAGGTTACTATTTGTTCTTTGTCTGTGAGGGCATCGTACATGATACATGAACTTCAACTAATTTAAAATTATTTAAGTTACTTGTCTGATTCACATAGAAGAAAAATTAAATGAAAAACCGCACTCGAAAAAGAATACTAAATGAAAAGGAGACTTCTTAATATTGATAAGCTAAATTTTGGTTGCTGAAATTAGCTAATATATAAAATTTAAATTTATTCCATATACCTTTTATGCATAATTGGCGTGATTCACTGACTTGGAAAAGAAAGAAAAGAAGAGAGTAATGTGCTCCTATACTTAAATTTCAGGTTGATGGCCAGTTTAGAACGGGCATACCTGGAATTTTTGCTATCGGAGATGTTGCGGCATTCCCCTTAAAGGTGCGTCTTCTTTTTACAAACTAAAAGTAGAAAACTTTGTTGTTCATGAAGTCATGATCTCACGTTGTGTTAAACAGATTTACAACCGAATTTCAAGGGTTGAGCACGTTGATCATGCTCGTCGATCTGCTCAGCATTGTGTTAAATCACTACTAACTGCACATACGGCCACGTGAGTTTGACTTATTTCTAACCTCATAACTTTGTTTCTAATGGAATTATAATTTTGAAACTTAACCGCTTCAAGTTATCTGCGATAATGATGGGAATCTTGTTTGACATTCAGGTATGATTATCTCCCATATTTTTACTCGAGGGTTTTTGAGTATGAAGGGAGCCCAAGAAAAGTCTGGTGGCAGTTCTTCGGAGATAATGGTAAGTGTGTGTCTTACTTTCTTGGTCTATGAGTCCAAAGAATTTACTGTTGGGCAATCTTTAGCTAATGATATTAATATTTTACTTTCGCTTCTTGATATACAGTTGGAGAGACTGTTGAAATTGGAAATTTTGATCCAAAAGTTGCAACTTTCTGGATTGACTCTGGTACTTTGCTCTCACTCTGTGTGTACGTGTGTTTATGTTGCTGGCGGTAGTAGCAACTGACTGAGATTTCCTTCTAAGGGCATGCATCGTTACTTGTACATTTTTTCTTGGTTGGGTTGGGGGTGGAGGGGCAGGGGCAGGGGCTGTAGGGAATAGAGGTTGATTTTTTCACTGGAAAAATGAAAAGCAAAGAAAATAGGATGCTGATTGTGCTGTCTGCAGGTATACTAAAGGGAGTTCTTCTTGAAAGTGGAACTGCGGAGGTATGTTTCAGAAATGATACTGAAGTTGGTAAAATTTTGTGAACCGTAATTCGCACACGTGCACTTCTGCTTGTGTGTAATGTATAAATTGTTGATATAGAACCTGAAGAACTGTTAAAGAGAGAAATATTCAGGAAAAGCGTATGATAGTCTTGCAAGTTATTTTGTTGCCTGATATCACAACAGAAATAGCACCTTTGCTGTTGATTCAAATATATTATAGGGGTAATTTTTTATTGAACACAACACTACGAACCAAAAATTTGAGATTTTTTGGGTTGAGATGTTTGGATGCATTTGTTAAAAGGCCAATAATGCACTGCGGCTTGAGAATGGAAGACTAATATATATTGCATGAAATTATCGCGAAGACTTGAAAATGAGATGTCCAATAAAATAAATGCCTTGGAATGAGCACACGTGAATATCCATTACCTTTTGGGAGGCTTACACCCCGCAGAAACTATCTACCTGAGACTGTCCCTTGGCCCGTAGGTTCTGACACAAGGTGTTGTGTTGAGTTTTATTATCATAGAACACTGTTGGCATGTTTGGCAGAGAGATTGGATAGTAATGGAAACTCGTATGGAAGAAAAAGATGCTAAAATCCTTTTCATTGTGTTGTAGGATGATGTTTATATTGCATATCAAACATGCACTTATAGTTATAGCTTACAATCAAACTATTTTGTTGTAATATTGTTGTAGGAATTCCAACTGCTCCCTAAACTCGCAAGGAACCAGCCTTCAGTCGACAAAGCCAAACTTCAGAATGCATCTTCAGTCGAGGAGGCACTAGAAATTGCTCGAGCTTCATTACAGGTTGGAGCTGCAGCTTAGTTTGTATCGTTAGCAGGATATTTCATAGTCAAATTATAGGGGCATTCCTTTTTTCCCCCTTTTTGGTCTACATTTCCTGGCTTTATATAGAGGATAGCCTAATATTAATAAGCTCAAGTCTCTGCCGTAATTTGAATACCTTCTTTTTATCACTGGACATGCCAAATAGAGAGAGCATTAGTTGGGCAAGCACGTATTGCATAGTAAAGTTCTATTTTGTTAATAAAATTGATTATGGTGTATTCTTACAGATTGTAAGTGGAGATGGTACGACTGGTACATTTTTCATTTCCTTTTTAGGAAAAAGGCATATGTACAGAACCCTTTTTGCCAGAAAGCTACCAGATACTCTCACATGGGGTGGGTCCCCATGTGAGTAAAATATTGCAAAAAAAAAAATGCGGGCACCATGTATGTGCGTATCTGACAGTGTTCTGGCAAATTTTTTTCTGTAAGTCTAGCATTGTTCTCATTTTTATCACTCGCGCATTGAAGACTAAGGGTTATCAAGTAACATGTCATCAACTTAACTTTTTTAAATGAGGTGATTTAACATTGTGTGTGAGTAGATAAAAGTTGAGTTCAAATTTTGACGTTATTTATGAAAATTATACATGTATTGGGCTTTGATGGAAAAAAATAAAAATAAAAAAATGAATTCAATGAGCAATTGAGCACGTCAGGAACAAGATGAAGATTAAATGTGCTGCCTTTTTGGGAAGAATTTATAAATGGTTTAATTTAAAAATAAATAGAAATGAGGGATGAATAGTACTTGTGGATTCATTGATATGTACGTTTGCAAATTAAGTTTTGTCAAACAGACGCCACTCTCGTGATCGTTTACTCACATTATGACCTACAATATACTTTATAATGTTTTTCAAGAAAAAGAAAAAAATAAACGTTGAAATTGCTGAGATTGTAAATAAATACGCATACAAACTTTGACCCGCAATTTACAAAAACGTCCATTCGTCTACGTACGTATATCTTACAGTAAACAAGGTTTTTACGAAGGGAGATAATTTCTGTAGTGAAATTACCATTTTTAATTCCTAAATCGATAATATTAGTATAAATATTTGTCATCTTACTTTAATTCAATTAACAAGTTGCTATATGGTGCTAAAATATTACATGACTGTTTGATAAAGTTTTTGTTTGCTAAAATAGTTGGTTAAATTTTATTTTAGCAACACATTTTATTGGACTCAATCCATAAACTTTCATAATTTTTTTTGACAATACTAGTCGTCTAGCCGTGCAATGCATGGGCCATATTATTTTTGAAGTAATGTTAGCATGTTGAGTTTTAAGGATGGATGAGAGATTCAAGTCGAATGAGATCAACAAAATAAATTTAATTCGACCAGGTAAATTTTCATATGATTTTACCAATAAAATACAATTTCAAAGCATTTTAAGAGTGCAAAGAAATCAAGAAAATATTTTCTCACATACCATCAATAGAAACATGGAAGAGATTGTTTCCAGATGTACATGTATTAAGAACCGAGCTACACTTATAGAAGTGTAGCTTCACAGAAGTTCTACAGATTCAAATGGCTTTCCTCATGTATTAATGTGTGTGATTCAGACTACACTGAAAGAAAGGCCACTTTGATCAAGACATCAAGCGATACAGGAGAAGAATAAAATTGATTTATTTGTAGTGATTAACATGATCAAGGTATAGAAAAACAGGGAATAATCAACTTCAAATTTTTTCTTTCTAGTATCAGATGAAAATGGTCAACAATTAAGCTGTGATTTTACTGTTTCACAATTCTGTAATGAAACTAAAAGTTGCGTTTCCTCTTCAAGATCAAAGTAGACAAGTTAATTAGCTAAATCAAATCCAAGTTACTGTCTTCATATTCAAATATGTTCAAAGCAATGATAATTGGCGGAGATACATAAAAACACCAAAAGCTCAAATGATTGACAAGTACAAGATCATTTTTCTTTCCTTGTCTTCCCTACCAAGTTAACACACGTGTGAATATGCAATCAAATTAACTTGGAATCATATTGCAAAATTAACACTATCAATTTCCTCTTCTACAGACAAGAAAACTAAAATTAAAATGAATATTTCCAATTAAAGTGCACGAGATTGAAAAACTTTATCCCCTCGATCAGCAAGAACAATGGGCATGCCTCTCCAGGCTTAGTCATGGTTGGTACAGTTCTCTACCCAAAACTCCAAAAGCCAATGAGAAGGCATGCAAGAGTTTCGAAGATATGGATATTTCTTGAACTTTCTGGGCATGACTTTTAGACAATTAGTCATTGTTATAGATAAAAACCTTATAACTTTTAGATCGACAAAAAGTCATAATGTTCTATCTTCAATAATTGAAGACATACCAGCAATTTAACAATTTAGTGACATGATTGATATGAAAAGTAGCAAAATAATTAAATACAAAAATGTGTAGGCAGCTCGTCCAAAATTTCCATTCACATCCGAATTTGTTCACATTAAAAGCATAAGAAACAGCAACATGAAAATACCAGAAATAATTGAATTAACCACGTAAATGATTATATACATGTGGATTTATGCACAAGTCAACTTGAAGCACAGAAAAAAGGAACAAAACACAAACTGAATCAAGAATGTGCAAAATGAAAGCCTTTAAGTAGAGGTTGTAATAAAAGTTTCAGGCATACTGCAATATTCTATGATAAAGGAAATTTTCACCTATTGTAGATCATCCCGTGAAACGAAGTACACTAACCAAAAGGTACACCAATTTTAATTAGAAAGTGCAAAAATTAGACGGAAAGATCTCTTTACTATAATTCTTTACCCATTTGTGCTTAGTTTTAGAGCATCAAGACAGGTTTATTATAAGGATATGCTCTAGTCTTCAATGTTAAAATGCATATGTATTCAAGAGTAAATGCTTGTAAGAGTAATTCTCGTATCCACACAAAAAGAACACAAAAATGAAAAGACTTCCATCAATATCTTTACCCGCAAGAAAACAATGTTGTATTGAGAATATAAGATGACACAATAAAATCGATAGTTAACTTACATCAGTTTTAGACTGCTCATTTGATATTGAATCTGTAAATCAAAGCCTCAAGTTTTCCCTGTAACCAGAAAATTGCAAGCACAAATAAAGTAAATGATCAACATGTCCATTAGAACTTTGTAATATAAATGCAAGCACTTAAAAAATATCAAGTCCATCACCTTCTTGAGGTGTAATTGGCTTATTTGGATCAACTGGCACCAGAAACTCATCCCATTGAAGTGTATCTCATGAAGTCTCTGTTCATGATCTTTAACATTCATACTGTCATTATTCATCGGAAAATCATTGAGAAACAATTACTTCAACATTAGCCATAATTCAAAGAAAAAATCACTTCATAGACTTCAAAGTTCTGCTTATATAAATATATTTTATTTGATTTGGAAACTCAATGGCACATTGTGTAAGAAAATAGTTTTATACATGGACCACATATTTTCATTCGAATGGTAAAAGATGATATCATTATCATCGTCTATATTTTAATTTCACATGATTGTGGTCTGCTGTAATATGCTTGATCAACTGATGAATCAGATTCTTTTGAAGGCCAAGGAACAGATGGGTCAAAGACAACTAAAGAATTGGAATTCACAAGCGTGGCTGGAGAATCTTGTAACTATATGATGAGTTAATTGCAACCCAAGTTTCATACAGATCTAGAAATATTTGTGAATGAGATTTCATGTGAGTGAAATATATACAATGCTAAAAAACCAAGGGTCCTAACCATTTATCACGGCCTTTAGGTATTCACATACAACCTATGGCCTCGGATCTGTCAAAGAAAGGAAAGAAATTTCAATGTAGCTATTCTTAATATCTACTAAATATTTGTCCCACACAAACACAAACAATTATTATGAAAAGGCAAGAAGTTGACCCATATATGACTCTATGGCTCGGGGGCCCACATCAGATAATATATAAGGAAACTATACCAGAACAAGAAATAAATACATGGCTACACAATTATTCACTTAAAAATGCTCCACCAAGCTTGTCAAGCATCCAATGCTTTGGGGCATTGAGTCTCTTCAAATGTTTCTTCAATCCTCTTGCTTGTACAGATTTAAAAAAAAAAAAAAAGTAATCAAATAACTTCATTCCAAGTCAAGTTTCCAGTACCATGACCACTAAACAAATTGGACAAAAGATATAGAAAAACGAATTCAATGGAGAAAATTCCATATCAACCGCCTTACAATCAGCTCTTTGCATCTCCAAAACACATGTATGTGAATGAAAGCACGCATAGCATATACACACATTTTGTTAGGGATGTTCATGTATGATTTCAAAGTTTTCGCGGAAGTGATAATCCAATAATTTCTAATATAAATAAATATAATATATTAAGCCATGTGATTCTGTTCATCTTCCAAGAGTCATTTTATACCAATATTCTAATCTAAATAGCAACACAGACATAATGCGTCGCCAGATTTGACAAACCATGTAAAGCGTCCAGGAATAAGATAATGGACATTGCTGCAGTGCATATTTGAAAAAAAACAAAAAAAATCCTAACCAAAAATTTAATAAAAATCAGATTCCTTTCTTGACAGATTTCCCTATTACCTCTACTCTTTCATAGTTACTATCAAAACTAATGTTCTTATCTTCAAAGGTGGTAATTAATACTAACCGAAAAAAGAGGCTCATCAAAATGTACCTTTCCATAAACATAAATATACTTTCTAACATTAACAGAGGATGAATACATTAAATCTAAAAAAATTACACATGTATGCACCAGATCACTCTAAAAAGTTAAGCCGTTCCATTATTAAACAACAAAAAATGTATTCAAATGATCGACATGGAAATCGTAGAGGTTAAAGAAAAAGAGCAAAAACAAACTATTTTGTTACTTCGGTGTAGTTAAGCTGCGTTGTCAATGTGGTGCTATCCCTTCTGCTGCTTAGCGCTGAGGAAATTTCAATA